GGCTCGCTGACTTGGCTGACACATGTCATCGTTTCCCAATTGCTCAGATCGATGCTCCTGCTGTTGATCACTGGATTACCTTGTCCAGTCTCGATTATTTACAGACCGCCGCCATATAGCTGGAATATTGCTGAGTGCGGCGTAAAACTAAACTTACTCACTCCCAGTCTATATTTGGATGATCTGTCATTTTAAACCGACCGACCCATCAATCGGGGCGGTGGGGCAGTCTAGTGGTTAAATCGTTCGTTCGTCATGTTGCCTACCCGGTTCGATACCTAACCGGGTGGAATGTATAAAGCACATTTCCGGAGTCCCCAGCCGTGATATTGCCGGAATATTGCTAAATGCGACGTGATACCTTACTCACTCACTGACCCATCTCAAACAGTATACGGGGCAGTGGGGTAGCCTAGTGGTTAAATCGTTTGCTCGTCATGCCTAAAACCCAGATTCGATTCCCCACATGGGCACAGTGTGTGAAGCCCATTTCTGGTTCGCTCAAAGCGGCGTAAAACTAAACTCACTCACTTAAACAGTATACAGGAAGGATGGGCGGCAACGCGGAGAGCAGTTGCATTTAAGAAAACATGGAAGTAAAGGAGAATATTAAATTCGCGGTAAAGAACAGATTTTACCTAAAAGGCAGATTCACAGGTGAAAACATTGGGGGGCATATTCAACTACAAAACAAAACTGAAAAAAGCGATAATAGATAGTCCCACGTTCCATTAAGCCACATACAGCAACTCCCACTGAAGGCATAGATTGCATACAAACAAAACTGAAAAAAGGCGATAATAGATAGTCCCACGTTCCATCAAGTCATTTATAGTAACTCCCACTGACGGCACAGTTTGCTGACAATATTTCTTCAACTAGACAACAAAATGGATCGGGTGGTCAGGTTCGGCGACGTGATGGATGACGTGCCAACGTTTCCCGATCGTTGTCTCTAATGTCAGACCTCGGATTGTCTAGTTCCTACGCGTTTGAATATACAGGCCATGGTTATATAAATGGCATATTGGCCATACAGTCAGCTCTTCGTGGACGAAAATGACATTTCATTTCAACAGAATTAAATATTACAATGCAAAAGATAGTTCGTGTAAGATGCACATTTCAAAAGGAAAAAGACAGTACCGTATATTTCACTTGTAATACATTAAAAACGATTTAAAGCACTTACGTTCACTAAGAACATACATTGTAGATAGCGAAGTTAGGAGTGAGTATGGTTTTACGCCGCTTTAGCAATATTCCACCAATATCACGGCGGCGGACACCAGAAATAATGGGTTTCACACGTTGTACCCATGTGGGGGATCGGACCCGGGTCTTCGGCGTGACGAGCGAACGATTTAACCACTAGGCTAACGACTAGGCTAACAAACAACAAAACATCCCACCCACCCACCCCCATCCCCAAGAACAAACGGTAATGGGATTCTACCGTCTAAGGGACGTTACTCTAAAAAACTGCGCCACCTTAGACGACATTCGTCACCACTCGTCCCTTTCCGTAAAGACGCTATTCGGCTTGTCCCGGAATAACACGAGTTGGTCACGAATGCTTAGATGATAGTGAACCCCACAAGCTACCCCGCCGCCTCTCTAAAGAGCAGGAGATACGAGGCGGGAAATTTAATTATGGAACTAATATTGGTTCCAAGAAGGATCAGGACCGCCTCCGTGGTATAGTGGTTAGAGCGTCACGGATTCGATCCCCGCCCGCTTCATACCAAAAGACGTTAAAATATGGTACTTGTTGGTCCCTGCCTGGCGCTCGGCATTAATGGGTATAACAATGACTGATCGGCTCGTAGTCAGTATGATGTGTCTGAGTGGGGTGATTTATGCTTCACTGCGCATGGTATCTCAGTGGGTTGGCACTATAAAATCGGCTTAAGTTTGGTCTGATTCACCTAGCAGCCACACATACACGCGCATGCACGTCGTCATATGAGTGACCTTCAACCTCATTTCACCTCACCCAAGAAGGGTCATTTTTTTCACACTTTGATTAATTGTGACACTTTTGGCTGGCGACAATGACCCCTCCAGGTTTCCATAGACTTCAAATAACTGCGTACAATTTTACTCCGTATTGCGGATCACCCTCTGCTTTGAAAGGTTGAGTAAATTTGTACGCTGGCATTGAGTAATTGTGGCACTTTTTGCTTGTTTTCGTGAGGGCGACAACGTGACAATGCGACAATGTCCCTTCCAGTGTTCCATAGACTACAGATAGTTGCGTACAATTTTACTCCGAATTGCGGACCACCCTCTGTTTTGAAAGGTTGAGTAAATTTGTACGCTGGCAGTTTCAAACCCACCCCACCAAATTGCAAACCCATGCTCGCCAGTGGCATCCACAACAGCAATTTACGTCGTAATATTAGAAATGACATTTGAGTATCAATGGAGTATTTGAACCTATTTTTTTTAATATACACCAGAAGTCAAGTTTGAGGAAACATGAATCGTGGTCGTATAGCCTGCATTGCCCAATAAGGTATTGTTGGAGATTGAAGTTAGACATGTTTTGGTTTTTGAGAGGGAAAAGTTCCCACAAACACAACATTGAAATCGAGATGCACGTGCATCATAAATGCATTCAGGCATAAATTGCCGGCTTGAATGGCAATCGTTCACTTGTTTTCTGAACACAGCAGCTATGACTAGGTTAACGAGAGATCAACCACAACAAGCTATTGGACGTCTGCACGCTGGTCAACAAGCTCGAGTCATTGCTATTGACTTCAGTTGCAGCGTGAGAACGATAGAACGCCTTAGAGTGCGATACAACGCCACCAGCAGCACTGATGGCCGTCCACGTAGTGGTCAACCCCGTGTAACAACACGTCGCCAGGACCGTCATATCGTCCATCAACACGTGCAAGACCTATTCGCAAGGGCCAGAGAAACAGCTTGGGTGACCATAGGAAACCACCAGCGACAAGTCAGTGACCTACCATTCGGCGACGTCTCCAAGCCAGGAACCTGTTTTGTCGATGTCCTGCCAGGAGACCATATATATATAGATATTCACCCAACGTCACCGCCGGGAACGTATCCAAGTGGACACAACAGCGGCAAAACTGTCGTGCACAATGGAGAGGGGTTATCTTCTCTGATGAAAGTCGGTACTGCATTTCAGTGGCGTATTATTTTTAAAAATGCAAATGTTTACTTAAATGTCATTTCCAATATTACATTTCTTTTGGCTTCCATGTAGTATATAAAGAAATATCGGAGATGATTTATCATAATGTCCAGTGACATATTTAGATACATCAAAGCGATCAATATCTATTTCGAACTGACCAAGACAAGTCAGATAAAGCCTTAAAGTCACTAATCAGCGTCTCAATTGTTTAGTGGCCATCATGAATGATTGTATTTTGTCCGCAAGTGAGTTAGATAACTTACGCACATGGCCCGCAATGGGGGTAATTGTCTCTCCTTAAATGACCTATATATAGGGATATAGGTGTGTGTTTTAAACTTTTATTGCGATGTACGTAGTTAAAGGATTGGAAAAGTACCGACTGTTGCTTCATGACCGACCATGGACTCCAGCTCGCCATAAATCTGCCAACACGGGTTTTGTGAGCCGATTTCTCCCAATTTGCAATCGGGTCATATTTTCTTTTTTAGAAGATATCCAAATAGAGTTTCAAAATAAGCACAGGGTACATTAAAGTGTTACAGGATAAGTTCTCTGTAATTTCCTTAAGGGTGTTTAAATATAAATAGAATTATAAAACCCCACACACATTTGTGCACCTACACTGTTATGAAGACAAATCGATGTGATATATCTTGTTCATGATCGGGATTTCATTTGTAAGTTTGGTTTGTTTGTTGTTTAACGCCGCACTCGGCAATATTCCAGCTATATGGCGGCGTTCTGTAAATATTCGATTCTGGACCAGACAGTCCACTGATCAACAGCGTGAGCATCGATCTACGCAATTGGGACACGATGACATGTGTCAACCAAGACAGCCAGCCTGACCACCCGATCCCCTTAACCGTCTTTTACGACAAGCATGGGTTGAAGACCCCGGATCTTTTGTAAGTGATAACTAGATGTTGACTTACAATTTAGGATATCTTATAATTAGGGTGGGTATTGCAGAGAATATTCATATTGTGATATATTGCGATGCGAAAGTATGTATTGCGATATGTATTGCAATATATTGCAAGAAGTATTTTTAAACAAAGAACTACTTATAATCGCGTTTAAGCTTGATTTTTAGAGCAAAACACACAAAAAACCTATGCATATATGCATCCATGTGTCATCAACTAGAAATAAAACAAACACAAATGGCTATTTGGTGGCGATGTAGTTATTACGGGTATCATAATTATCTATAGGGCCGTAGCCAAGCAACGTTTAGAAAGTGTGTGCTATTTTCGGTCAAATCCAATTTTGGTGTGTGTACATCCTGATTTGGCCCGGTAGTTGATTTGTTTGGGTGGGTATTGCAGAGAATTTTCATATTGCAATATATTGCAATGCGAAAGCACATATTGCGATATGTATGCATGAATACCGGTTTTCGATCAGTTTATCGCAATACGTATCGTTTTCATGTCTGAACCTGTAAATACCGGTAAACCGGTTATATTGCGCAACCCTACTTAGAATAGTATGTTGGATATCGGAAATTGAATAACGATATGCTCAAATATTTACTGACGCGAAAACTTGATATTTTAAATTGATATTTTAAATGTAATACCGATATCCTAAACTATTTGAGGATATTCGTTATCAGAAAATAACAGCGAAAAGGACTTGCATTCGAGGAATATTCTGCTCCTCCGTGACATCAAGGCCACATATTGGAATCATTAAATGCTGCAAAAGTAAATTTTCGCTTCTTGTTACACTATGCGCGCACTATCAATGGGAAACATTGTGTTCTACATTGGCGCTTTGTTGATTATGACGTCATTACTAATGACGTCATGTACGATAACGTCACAAAGGACGTTACACGTTCTGTCTAAATGTTGCAAATGTTCCGACAAGCGTAAATTCCGATTACCGTGAGCGTTGTGCCACAAGGACATGGGCGACCTTGTCAGCAAGGAAGCGGTCCCGGATGTGCCGAAAGTTTCACCTGTTTTCAATGACGTCCTAATTTCCGATCGCTACGGAAGCGAGAAAGCTGAGGATGTGTCATGGCGCAGACTTCACGATGCTATCGTCAACAACGACATAGAGCGCTGTCGCAGCATCCTGCATGACAACATCTACCCAGGTAACGTGCACTCCCTAGATTCGTGGATAAACTCTCACCCCCGGGGAGGGGGCCGTTTCACGCGCACCGCGCCTCCCCTACATCTTGCCTGCATGCACCGACGGCCCCTGATTGTGAAACTGCTTCTAGAAAACGGTGCCAACCCGTATTCTTGGGATAATTTTGGGCGATGTGCCGTGGCCGTTCTTCTGGAATATTGGCCCCGGATCTCAGTCGATTGGGAGGAAATGGGAGACACGGCTAAGAAATCGCGTGAAGAGGAAGAATTTAAGACACGTGTTTGGCAGCAACATCAGAGATCACGTGCATGTTTGCGACACCTCCTGAACGCTGGCTTCGACGTGCGCGTTGCCGCCAGCACGTGCCAGAAACAGTCGGTGCTTCACTTGTGTGCCAAATTTGATATATCAGAACCAGTGAATATGTTCCTGGAGAAGGGGGCGGACTTGGAGGCCCAAGACTATGAAGGGAGAACGCCATTATTGTACGCCGCATCTATAGCCCATGGGAGCGTGTATCAGGAATTGCTGAAGTGCGGCGCAAGCGTTAGCAAGAGCGACTACTGTGAGCGACAGGTGCTGCATTACTTGTGTGACAACCCAACGAATCCCCACAGTTTAGTGACACAGACGATCAAATACGGCGCGCTTGTCAACGCACGTGACTTCACAGGTGACACGCCGTTACACCGAGCTGCAAAAAATGGTTCTCCTGAACACATCCGGGTCTTACTCCACCTCGGAGCCGATCCAGACTCTCCCAACAGTAGAGGAAGGTCGCCATTATTTCTCCTGCTTCATCGTCGGGAAAAGATCGTCATGGCAAGTTTTCTCCCTCTTTTGATGACGTCGTCCAGAATAAGAGTCCGCGACAACGACGGAGAATTGCCGATGTTGTTGAAACGCCGTGGTTACAACGATCTCTCGCGGCAACTGGAGGAACTTAGTCGAAACCCCCCTTCCTTGATGAGAACTTGTCTCGTTAAAATCCGAGCCACACTCGGTATTCAGCGATGCGAAATGGATGTGGTGGATTGCCTACCCCTGCCAAAAGTACTACAAGATGGCATCCTTGGTTCTGACGAACTGTGCCTAATTGCCGCCAACATTCACCCAATATTCTTGCTGGAGACAGAGACCGGAAGTTGACTTTAAAAAGCCGGGAGACATGTTCAGTATTCCCGTGCGCATATTTAACCCCACTTCAGACCTTGTAATCACTGCTACGTTTGAAGATGAAACGATATGTCTTGTAATATCAATGATACATTTAAATAACTTCTGGATCGGTCTAGATTGAGTCAGCAGAGCTGGAGACGAATAATTTGACTCCAAGCAGAGACCATTTAAATTATATGGTCTCTGCTCCAAGTAATCAATTAGCCTCAGTATGGTGCGTTATTGCCCCTCTATGAGCGATGACATAACATTTATATACCACAATAATTTGGAGTTACAGTATGTTCCCTTACAAGCTGAGCTGACTGAAAAAGCAAGGCTTTATTTGATCATTTCTTCCTATCAGAAAAGAGAAAATAACATAAATTATTTATGAGGTGAGGCAGCTTCGTGGCTGAATCTCTTACGTTCGTTCGTCACGTTGAAGACCCAGGTTCGATTCACCACATGTTTACAATGTGTGTCCCCGCCGTGATATTGTTGGATATTGTTGACAGTGGTGTAAAGCCATACTCGTCCACTAACAATGTTACCACTTTGACTGCAATCAGAACCATTCCATGAACGTGTCTGTGGTTTGTTAAGAGCATTTCACTGCAATGCTACTTTATTTGTAATACAACTTGTATATACAGCCGGTACAATAAAGTGGTATAAAAGACTGTTTGGTGTGCCAGAAAGCAATGATCTTGGGTTGGAATCCTGTTTGGGAATATGAATCAAGCTCGATCCCCTCTATTAATGTTCATACTCAAATAGGGCCGGTGGGGTAGCCTAGTGGTTAAAGCGTTCGCTCGTCACGCCGAAGGCCCGGGTTTGATTCCACACATGGCAACTATGTTTGAAGCCCTTTTCTGGTGTCCGCCGTGATATTGGTGCTAAAAGCGGCGTAAAACCCAACTCACTCACTCATACTCAAATAACCCACACAAAGTGAAAGTCAAGTAAATAAAATTTTCAACGTGTTCTACAGAAACATCTTTTGTGGTCGAGTTATGAAAATAGATTCAAATAACACCATCATTAGATGAAACATTCCTTACGGACTATCTTAGCAGTGACGGTGTCAGCGCGTCGTAATATATCAAATGAAGGACGTACAATGAAAGGCGTGACCGGACAGAATTCTGAAGCTGCTCATAAATCAGAGGCGATTATATTTGGCCGATCATTGAAAGGTTATTATAAAGATATGTCAAACAGATAATAAGGTAGAATTATTGGTTGTTGTGGACTGTCACGTGACAGTTAAAACAATGGTAAGAGTCCACTTTGGATGTGCAGTGTTTCGTTTCGTTCACAGGGATTGGTCGAAAAGAGGATATTCTTGTATGGCAATCAAACGTATCCCGATTTATACTCAAAGGTGAGTGTTTTTCATGCTTAAAGGATATTTATGATCTGGAATTACGCTTTTGTATTTTTATTTTTGCAATCAAACCCATCCCGATTTATGCTCAAACGTTGTTTTTTAATGATTAAAGGATATCTATGATGTGAAATTACGCTTTTGTATTTATTCGGACGAGGGAATTTCCACGGGTTTTCCCAGGAATGTAGTGCGTCAGTGTTTACGTCATTTCATTAACGCTGTCTCATAGAAAATGTGTGAACGTCAAAATATGCCCTTCATACGCTTCACAGTCCGGCGCAGTGATGATTTCGCATCAATGTCACACCCTACGTGTGTATATTGGACTAATATAGTTAGGGATATATGTAAATTTTGAAATTATGAATAATGATCTATTTATTCATTCACACACTGATAAAATATAAATCATAAAAATACCAATATCCCCAACTTATTTTGTCCAGTATATATCACATGATCTGACCTTTCTTTTGTTGCGTATATTCGTAAATCATAGAGTTGCACAATGCAAGCTGTTCGGTGCTCTTCATATTTTATGCATTGTTATGGTTTACCCCCACTGTGCCTAGTTTTGGAAATGGGCAGTGTTAAAACAACAGAAGGATTAGGGTATAGTCTGTATCAGGGTAGCGGGCAGTGGTATATAGTATAACTTCTTTGATTGGCGTATAGACTACTTAACTCTTAAGTCATAAACTACATACTTAATTCATAAACTAGTATACAACTGGCATTAACTCAGCAAGACATAAGTGTAATGAGTTTGAAATAATAATTTATTAACATACAAAAAGTATATTAACAATCACATCTTGATATATGGCAGAAACAGATCTAGGCGTCTGTCACACAAGGTCCTTGATATGAGTCAAGAACTTACCAAAGTCTGTTTGGATCGATCTCGTGGTTATGAATGTTGTTAGTGACTTAGTGATGAGTCCTTCAGTCATATTCAGTGTCGCTCGGCAGTCTTTGACACAGGATCTCCAGTTCACACTATTATTCTTTCGGTTCTTAACCCTAAATTTATAGCAGCTATAAATCAGATTTTGTCCACCCTGTGTATTTTCAATGTACTGGACGTCAACTTGAGCATTAGCCATGATGATGAATGATGATGTCGGGGTTCATTTCGTATATATATACATGACTGTGACATTTGTTAGTGTTCACCAATGTGTTCTGAAATGTGCTCAGCAATGTGTTCTGAAATGTGCTCACCAATGTGTTCAGACTTGTGATCACGGCGTCACCAGACTTACCTTGAAACAGACTATAACTAATCCCCCAATTGTTCTATGGGTGACTGCATTTTTGTTGTTTTAAGAAAAGTGGGCACAGTAGGGGTACACCGTTGTTAAATAGATATTCTTCTACAACTACAGTAAGGTTTATGACAATACATATATATACATCAAAGTGACTGTATATCTAGCGCTCATGCAGTTGGGCTTGGATGACAGCACGTACGTGGAGCCGCACAACGAATGTTCACAAAGGATCGTCACGCAAACCGAAACAGTGTTACACGTTTGAGGATAGTTTCCAGTGAAAGTAAACCATTTTATGAAAGATATTCTATTAGACATGTAGACTCCTAAAAAAATGAAACAGTTAAGAAGTATATACAATATATTTGATGGACTGTGGAAGATGTGATAAATGGTCACATGCATCTATCTGGCCTGCGGTACTATGCTGGCCGCATTGAACTCTGGGTAGGAGAGTGCGTATGAACGTCAGTTTCGTGGTCATGTGACCAGCCTCTCGTCCAATGGAAAAGCAGTATATCGTGTAAACATTAAAAATATATATCACACTTGCAGTGAGGATATTTATACGGACATAGAAACTCAACTTGCAGTGGACACGGATTTCTTCCTAAATACCCCGCACTGTTGGAACTGCATATCATTTCCTTAGTAACAGTTTCTTCATCAGGGCGACGGGTAAGTGACCGAGGCCGTCGACCAATCAGTGAAGCCGACAGACACCGGTTGTGGTCTAGAATGAGAAAGCTTTAAGACATCAGTCTCCCTGGCAGTAGTTTCCGGCTGATGCTATCTGTGGCACAAATGGTGGGATGTTAATTTCACTTGTATCAGCATCAACGTAAACACCATCAACTTGTGAATGGATCCAAGACTCCAAATATATTTTAGTGTGTGTTGATAATGACACACCGAAAGTATGGAATCCTGGAAGGGACATTGTCGCGTTGTCGCGTTGTCGCCCTCTCAAATACAAGCAAAATGAGGCAAAATTAACCAAAGCGCATTATCGCGATGTCGCGTTTTGAAAAATATTTTTCTATTCCTCCAAAGGGCGACAATGTGACATAGCGACAATTTTCAAGGTCAAAACATATCGCTTTGTCGCATTGTCGCCCTATCTAAGATGAGTAAAAAAAACCTAAACGTTGACTAAAACGCTACACGCGACAATGCGACATTTTGATGAAATGTCGGGTTGTCGCATTGTCGCGTGTCGTGCTTTGTTAAAATATTGAGTATAGTATGTATTATAACATATTGACTAAAACGCAACACGCGACAATGTCCCTTCTCGGATTCCATAGCAAAGGACGCATTGTTTTCACAGGAGCGTTTTCAAACCCAAGCACAATAGCCGGCCACACGGACCAATGGATGGATAGATAGGTAGCAACGCACGATGTATATGAATGAATGAATGAATGAATGAATGAATGAATGAATGACCCCTATTGAAACATCTAAAAACAATAGCAGCATACTGACCAATAGATGAAATCTGAATCCAAGGAAGCTAGCTAACGTAGCACTTTTTAAGTAATTGGGCACTTTACGATTACGTCTTTGATTTTATCAGTGTCATAAATATCTGATTACTTTCGTGTCTGTCAATATTACGGAAATTTCATATCTCTCCTGTCCGTCAATATCACGGAAATAGGATATGTCTCCTATCCGTCAGTACTATACGGAGATAGGATATGTCTCATATCCGTCAGTACTAAACGGAGATAGGATATGTCTCATATCCGTCAGTACTATACGGAGATAGGATATGTCTCATATCCGTCAGTACTATACGGAGATAGGATATGTCTCATATCCGTCAGTACTATACGGAGATAGGATATGTCTCATATCCGTCAGTACTATACGGAGGTAGGATATGTCTCATATCCGTCAGTACTATACGGAGATAGGATATGTCTCATATCCGTCAGTACTATACGGAGATAGGATATGTCTCCTATCCGTCAGTACTATACGGAGATAGGATATGTCTCATATCCGTCAGTACTATACGGAGATAGGATATGTCTCACATCCGTCAGTACTTTACGGAGATAGGATATGTCTCATATCCGTCAGTACTATACGGAGATAGGATATGTCTCATATCCGTCTGTACTACGGAGATAGGATATGTCTCATATCCGTCAGTACTGAGGAGATACACGCTACGCGTTCGACTTCAAATGAAATTTAGAGACTATCAATTCGGTCTAACATTCATCTAATTTCCAAACACAGTACGTTTATCTCCTAATAGTGCAGGGGCTGTAAATTTTTGGAACCAATACTAATTGTAATCACTATTGTGTATGGATTCAGGAAAAACATGGTTCCATTTTTTCTGTTTGCTGTAAGTGTCATTGTGGGGTGATTGAATATGAGTTCCCAAAATTGCTTGCGACACCATTTCAAGAAAAACATGTTTTCATAAACCTATCACAACATAGTCATGTAGCATATCAAAAGGCAGCTTATGGTGCATGATATAAGGATAACCACATAATATGCTTCTAATTTCAATTTTGGTGACATAAAACATGACATAATCATATAAATTATTGTCTTAATATTGTTGTCTTTCCTTCATCGGACACCAACATTGTAAGTATTGGACTTTATTAATGGAAACCCTTTATTCAATTAATGTCTTCTCCCATTTCATAATACATGTATATACTACCATGACTCACATATGTAGTAATAATAGTACCCAGGTAAGGTTAATGTGACTATCATATAGCCATGCACAAGTGTCACATCAGGAATACCAGTACAGTCAGAATTGACACACTGACACTCGTGTCTGGGTAATCAAATGGCAAATGACATAAAGCCAAATCTGCAGTCAATATAAACTGACTGTATTAATACAGGAGTGACAAATCATATAACAGTGAACAGATAACTACATATTACAAATGGGGTATGCAAGTGCAATATATAATGTGCAATAGTATATTTATTTTAACTTTCACATTGCTAAGTAACTTCCATAGTCAATCAATCCGCCATTTACCTGCAAGAACAAAATATGCTGTTGAAATACAAGCTTCGACATTATTTGTCATACAAACACAAGCATGACTTCGAGGAATTTTTCTTAATTTTGGAAACTAGAAGGGCCCTTGCACAGAAATCTCCTTTCACTATTATTTTTTTAA